AAAAGCTCTAAAGCGTGTTCTTTGGACTGCAACCAACAACAGCAGACAACAATTGGAGCTCACCATACATGACAACACCACCTAGAACTCAATCCAGATATAGAAGTATTTAAAGTAAAACAGACCTACAAGACTGAAAATAGGGAACCAGAGATATCAATGTATAATGAACTCAACTACAAAGCAAAAAGAGGGAATAGTGTAGATACAGAACTTCCAAATGTCAAAGAAATCCAATAGATTTCAAGATAAAAGAAATTGTTTTAAGCAGGGAAAAAGGTTACTAAATTACAGGGCAATCTCAAAGAAAAATAACATGCCTGTACATCAAAACAAAACAAGAAAATTAGAAAGATTTAGTAAACATTAACATAATAGAAATGAAAACAAAACCCACAAACAAAATGAACTCAGCATACAAAATTATGTGGAACAAAGAATCCACACACATACACACAAAAAAAAACAAAACAGAAAAATGACAACAATCAATAGATACTTATTGATAATTACATTAAATATAAATAGATTAAATGTACCAGTCAAGGGACATAAAGAGCAGAAGAAATAAGAAAACAGGATCCTTCAATGTGCTGTCTACAAGAGACATGCCAAAAACATGGAGACAGCCTAAATACCCATCAACAGAAGAATGGATAAGCCAACTCTGGTGCATACACACAATGGAATTCCAAAACATTAGAGTAATGATGAATTTGTCAAACACCTCACAACATGGTTGAACTATGCTGACTGAACTTAGTCAATCACAAAAGGACAAACACTGAATTAGACTAGAGTTGTAAAAAATGTTTGTTTTTTTTTTCAAAAAAGGGGGCGGTTCTTGATCAAGGAAACAATCGACAATGGTTACAGGGGAGGAAGGGAGAACGAAAATTATTCAAGGACTAGAGAAGAGACACATGTTAACATGGGTGACAGGTGAGGCTAGCTGAGGAAAGATGACAGGATCAGGAGACACAGGGAGGAATACAATAATGAAAGTGAGTAGAGGTAAATGCTGTTAACTGTTGGTACATGGTGGAGATTTGTTGTTGTTGTTATGTGCCATGGAGTCGGTTCGGACTCATAGCGACCCTGTACAGGATTTCCGAGGCTGTAAATCTTTACGGGAGCAGAAAGCCTCATCTTTCTCCTGCAAAACAGCTGGTAGTTTCGAACTGCTGACCGTGAGGTTCGCAGCCCAATTCGTAACCACTACACTACGAGAGCTCCATACATGGTGGGGATTGCAATCATGTACTAAAGCAAAGTCTAGGATTTGTTGAATGTAAAAATAATGATCTGCTGCTCTGTAAATCTTCACTCAATTCACAATAAAAAGTTAAAAAAAAAAAAAAAAGTAGTCCATCTGGATTGCTTGTTAGAAGTGACGATGGTGAGACTGAATCCCTAATACTTTGAACATGTCATCAGAAAGAACCAGTCCCTGGAGAAGGAAGGCCATCCTATTTGGGAAAGTGGAGAGTCAATGAAACAGGAAGATCCCCAATAAGGTGGACTGACACAGTGGCAGCAGCAATGGGCTCAAACTTAACAATTAGGAGGCAGATGCAGGAACGAGCAGGCTTCTGCTCTGTTGATGACTTGGAACAAACTTGACAGCACCTAACAACTAACAACGTGATGCATTAAAACATAAGTTAACTGACAAAAAAATCCCAAAGATAACTCTGTAGGCCCAATTCTAGGACAAAGTTAATAAGTGTTGAGGTTTATTTTTTTATTTTTTTACTTTGAGGAGGAGACAAAATTAAGTACTTTGACAGAATATTTATTTCAGGTAAGATTCTCTCCTTCCAGGAATATCATGTTACTCTTCATTGCATGCTATTAAGGAGCCCTGGTGACCCAGCAGTTAAAGTGATTGGCTGCTACCCAAAAGGTTGGTGGTCTGAACCCAACAGCTGCTCCGAGGGAGAAAGATGTGGCAGTCTGCTTCCATCAAGATTGGAAACCCTAAAATACAGTTCTACTCTGTCCTATTGTGTCGCTATGGGTCAGAATCAACTGGACAGCAGTGGGTTTGTTTGTTTTTTGTTTTATTAAGAGAAAAACCTGGCTGTTACCATAGAAACTACCTAAGCCGGTTAGTGCCACCCTGATTTGAGCAGTAATACCTGTTGGACCACTTGAGTCTACACTTACAGGTGCCTGTTTAACGTCTATGTTTTCACAACTGCTTAATACACACTGAGGTTGTGCAAATCAGTGGAGCACATACACTAGAGCCCAGACACACGACACCACCACTGTGCTGGGGAAAATCAAGTGGTAGCCCGGAGCTACCTTTGTCTTCACCTCTTCCGGTAACATTTACCGAATGCCTTAATGTTCCTGTTCATCTGTATGTAGAATATTGGCCTGTTGTCATTTTATCAGGCTGAAGGGGAAGAAGGTGTTTTGTTTTGCTGGGTTGAAAAAGGGAGCTTAAAACCCTCAGAGAATCGCTCTGACCCGCTTCAAGACAGGCTCCCTTCTGCCACTCTCTGAGGCAGTCTTTGGCAAGCATAGTTCAACTGGAAATCAAGACTATGACTCATCTGTGCAAAGCATTGTGCCTTGGGTTCTTTTTAAATCACAGGTACTTTTAAGGAGCATAGATTCTAATACCAGGAAAGCCCTCTCCCCAAATGCGGAGGAATTATTCAATGCATTCACCTTGAATTTGCCCACCTCCACTCAACACACTCAATGTACTACTGACAATAAACTACGTCTTAACAAGTCCCCAGTGACCAGAGATTGGCTGTGTGCCTCCGTCACTGATTTCTCTTGCCGCTGGGAAGTAGCTACCAGTGAAAAAACAGTTGTCGTCGAGTCAATTCCAACTCATGGAGACCCCAATATGATTCAGAGGAGAACTGCCCTCCATCAGGTTTCCAGAGCTGTGACCTTTCCGAAAAGCAGGTCGCCAGGACTGCCTGTCTTCCAAGACACCTCTGGAAGGGTTTGAATCACCAACCTTTCAGTTAGCAGCTGAGTGTGTTAACTTTGTGCACCATCCAGGGACCCCAGGGAAATAACTAACACAACAAATATGCTGCACTTGGAAGGAGCCCTGGTAATAGAGGGTGTTAAGTGTTGGGCTGCTAACTTCAAGGTTGGCGGTTCAAACTCACCAGCCACTCCGCAGGAGAAAGCTCAGGCTGTCTGCTCACATAAAGATTTACAGCCTAGGAAACCCTATGGGGTCGTTCTACTCTGTCCTATGACGTTATGAGAGTGAATCAACTTGACGGCAGTACATTTGGTTGTTTGGTTTTAGTATCCTCCGGGGGGTTTGAGGGGCTGCCTGTAATAGCTATGGTTTGTGTTTTAAGACGTAACTTTCTCTCTGATGACTTCAGAGTAATTTATACAAAGTGCTTCAACGAACAGGAAAGCCATGCTACCATTTAACAGATGGATAAACTGAGGCACCCCAGCTCAACTGCTCAACAGAAGAGGCAGAACCAACCTTCATAATGTGGCCTTCTTTGGGCACATATAGCTGTGCTAATGTGTCCGAATACTAATAAAATTTACAGAAATCCTAAATTCTAAAAGATGACAAGGAGCCCTGGTGATGCCATGGTTAATCACTCTGCTGCGGTTGGAACCCACCTACAACTCTGCAGGACAAAAGACCTGACCATCTGCTCCCATAACAATTTCAGCACAGGAACTCTACGGCATATTCTACTGTATCTTGCAGCCGTCACTATGAGTTGGCATCAGAATCGACTTGACATAATCCAACAGCAATGGCACAAACATATGGGCATACGCACATTAAAAACAGCAAAGACCACAGACCGTCTTAAATGAGTAAAAATGCCTGCAAATAGCACTACTGCAAGTGTACTATGAAACCCTCAAATACTCCTTTGGAACTAGACTTAAAATACCAGTCATCATTCTAGGTATGCGATTGGTGTTAATAACTGCTAAACCAAGGATTGTGATATTCAGAACCCTATCACCATGAAGTGCTGGTGGCATCCAATGGCAGTGCGTATCAAATAATCTTTCTCGGAAGAAAGCACAAAACAGCATCTGCTGTTTCCCCCCCCCCTCCTTCTTTTCCAGGTTGTTTTGTCGTTAAGTACCGTTGAGTCCATCCCAACCCATAGAGACCCTGTATAGACAAGGTTTTCGAAGAGCAGCTGGTGAGCTTGAACCACCGACCTTGCAATTCACACGGCTTTGCAGTCTGGCGCATTAACCCACAGCGCCACACCAGGACTCCTTTCCAGGTTGGGAGTGGCAAAAAGAGGGAACTATGTAACTAACCCGTTTCCTTCCAATTCTATTTCAAGTCCAAGTAATGTTAAGATCGCAAGCTACAACTGCCTTGAACAGTGGACGACTGGTATCCACCCCAAAGGCAAGGCTGGCTTTAACTTGATAGAAGTCCTTTTGCCCAGTGCCCCTGCCCTGAAGCTTGTCATTAGGTTTTCCAGTTTCAGGCTAATCTCCTGAAATAGGTGAGTGCACAATGTACCTACTAGTAGCGATGCTACTATATGCAGCACAAGTCCACAGAGAGCGCAACATTTAGTCCTGGGCCACCAGCCCTACAAACACACACATATCCTTCAAGTTCCAATCCCAGTAAGGCACCCCGAGCACCTCCACCCACCCAGGGGAGGGAGGGGCAGGAGAGGCGAGCAGAGGTTAACCCAGATACCAGCCAAAACAAACACCACTTCCAGAACCAGGCAAACTTTGGGTCGGGGCGGCTGCAGAGCCAAAGAAATGGCTGAGTGGAAAGGGGAATGTCAACCTATCTCCAGGGGCTGAGCTGCGGAGGAGGCTGGGTGTCCCCAGGGGCCAAGGGCGTCGCCGCCATCCTCTTCTAGGCTGCTGAGCCCCATCTCTGCCACCTGGTTGTGGCCTCCGGACCCCTGGGGCCACCCTGTCGCCAGTACCACCACCACCACCCCCAAGTCCCCACAGACACGGTCCTCCCCGGCGCAGGGGCTGCGGAGACCTACCAGGTGCAGCGTCTCAGCGGGTAGCTGCGACGCCCGGAACAGGTCGGCCACGGGGCCAGCGGCCGCTGTGACCGTGCTGGGAAGCGCTCGGGCGGGCTCGGAAGGTAAGGCGGGACCCACGGCAGCTGTGCGGGCGCAGCGCGCGAATAGCTCTGAGTAGCACTGCTGCTCGGCGTCGCTTAACAGCAGCGGCGGCCCAGAGCCGCCCCCTCCCGCCGCCTCCATGGCCTGCAGGACCGGCCGCGCCGCCGCCCCCACGCCCCACAGCTGCCGCTGCGCCGCCGCTTCCTCAGGCGCGCGCCCCACCCCGGCTTGAATGTTGTGCCTCCGCTGCGCGGCACATGGAGACGGGCGCGCGCCGGCCAATCACCGCCCGGGGGCGCCCGCCCCGCCTGCGCCAGGTAGCTCCCAGTGCGCCGCCCGCCACCACCCCTCACCTGCGAACCCGACCGCCCGCCCCGTGCCGTGCCCACCTGCCCCGGGCCGCGCCCACCTGCGCTGCAGCCGCGCGGAGCTGGATTACGACCAGCTGGGCTCAGCGGAGCAAGAGGGCGATTTCAGAGGTGGGGAAGGGTGGAGCCGATGTGGTGCCTACGCCGCACCAGGCCCTTCCCAGAAAGGGGACTTGACCCACTAACGTCGATTTCCTCCTTTCCATAGTACTGCTGCTTCAGCCCTGCAAAGCTGTACGGGGTTCCAGTGACTCCCCAGAGTGGTCAGAATGGCCACTGGATTGAGCTACTTTTTGGAGAAGCCTTCAACCCTGAGCTTGAAAGGATAACATGGGATACGACTAAATACTAGGAACAAAGTGCAAGGTTGGCCTTTCACCAGCCCAAGGACTCCTCAAGAGAAAAACCTGGTAATCTGCTCCCCGTAAGGATTACAGCTAAGAAAACCCTAGGGCAGTTCTACTCAGTCACCTGGGGTCACTAAGAGTTGAAATCAGTAGGCGCCTAACAACAACAAAGAGAACCAAAAAAGCCCATTTTGGAGATAAAATCCCTTGTTTTACAGATTAGGAAACTGGGCTGTTTCATTTGCACCTCCATTCATGGATGGAACGAACCAAGAAACCCACCAGCCACTCCCTGAGGAAAAGATGCGGCAGTCTGAAACTCTATGTTGTTGTTAAGTGCCGTGGAGTCAATTCCGACCAACAGTGACCCTGAGCAGCTGGTGAGCTTGAACCGCTGACCTTGCAGTTCAAATGGCTTTGCAGTCTGGCGCATTAATCCGCAGCGCCACTCCAGGACTCTATAGGGCAGTTGTATTCTGTCCCATAAAGTATCTATGATTGGAATTGACTAGAAGGCAACAGGTAACACGTTTATCAGCTAGAACCTGAAAATACAGGTCTCAGTAAGAGGATTTGCACCCCTAAAGGAAGTGGGTTTTTTTCCTGGGAAAATGTCATGTGGTTTAAAAAAAAAATTTTTTTTTAAGGTACAAAATTTGTACAAGTTCACACCAAAGTCAACAGTAGAATCTACATCTTCAGTACCTGCCCATGCATGTCCCCACCATCCCTCTCCATTCTAAAGTTTGCACACTCTGTTTTTCAAATGTGTTTACTCCACTCTCAGTTCCCCTGACTAGTGCTCTAGCCACTTTTAAGAAAATGTCTCAAAAAGATTCCACTGGAAGGAAATGTTTACCCCACTACCAACTTGAAAATCCATCATTCGGCCTGCATACTTGCATCTCTTGCTCTAAAGTTCTCTCTTAAAATATCAGTGTTCCTGAAAAGGATTGCACCAACATAATTAAGTTTAGCTGGTAAACATTAGCCTAAAGGGGAAAAGAAAGTAGCCCAAGGTTAAGCAACATTTTTTTAAAAAATCCATTTCAGCAATTGCTTTAATAAAGACTTAAAGCAATTGTTCACCCCCAAGTAGTTTTAATTAAAAACAGAAACAATTAGTATGGGAGGAAGAACTCAGAACAGGAGGATGAGAATGGTTGCACAATTCAAGAATGAAATCAGCGTCGCTAAACTGTTGATGTAAAAACTTGAATTGGTGCGTGCTTTTGCTGTGTACAAGAGAGCTTCAAAAAATTCATGAAGAAATTCAATTGAAAGGTAATGGACTTTTTCCGCAAGTTGTCTGAAGCCCCCTCATATAGTCCCAACAACAATCAAAATAAAATAATTTATTTTGATAAATAAGTACAAAATAGAAAACAAAAGACATCTCAAGAAATGCCACTGATGATAATAAATAAATATACCTTGGTATTGTAGCCAACTAAAATAAGGATCAAGGACAGAAAAAGATGAGAAGGAAAGATAATCAGGAGATGGTAACAATGAAAACGAAAAAAGGGATAATGGTAGAGAGGTATATAAGAAAGGAAAAGGAAAACTATGCCAGTCTTATTAAGGATGGCCATGGCAGTGTTTCTCTTTTGCAATCTAAAGAAATGAAAGATTCAGACCTGCCAGGAGAAATTTAAGACATCAATGTTGTTGTGAAGAGTCCGTTTCAACTCATAGCAACCCTGTATATAGCAAACACTATATAGCATTCCCAATGCTTTAAATCTTCTCTGGAGCAGAAAGCCTTACTTTTCTCCCTCAGGGCGGGTGGCAGGCTCCAACTGTGGACCTTGTAGTTAGCAGTCCAGTGCTTCTCGTCTGGAGCCACCATGCTCCCCAAGGCATCAATAGGCTTCGGGAGAAGCTAGTGAAAAGATAAGTTATTGATATTGATAAGATAAGTTAGAAGCAGTGAAGGCTTAGTTTGTGAATTTTGATTTCAAACTCTTAACACCTTTGTATTTTACACAATTTCTCATATCAGCAAAAATTTAAATATAACTCAAATGCTCAAGATCATCTTAGTTCCTTAAGGAAAACCAGAAGCCGAGAGATAATGCTTATTCTCTTCCTACCTTTCCAGTCCACCATCCACCCACCCATCCATCCATCCATCCATCCATCCATCCATCCATCCATCCATCCATCCATCCGTTTTGATGACTAAGGTGCATCAGACCCAAACCATGGTTGTTTCAATCAGATCATATGCATGCAAAAGTTAGATCATGCATATGGAAGACAGAGTTATTTATGTGTTCAAATTGCGGTGTTGGTGAAGAATATTAAATATACGTAGACTGCCAGAAGAATGAACAAATCCATTTTAGAAGAAATATAACCAGAAATGATAGTGAAACTGCAACTTGCTTATTTTGGACACATCATCAGAAAAGACTAATTACTACAAAAGGACATCTTCTTTGGTAAAGTTGTTGTTGTTAAGTGCCGTCGAGTCAGTTCCGACCCACAATGACCCTGTATAGGGTTTCGAGGAGCAGCTGGTGAGCTTGAACTGCCAACCTTGCAGTTCAAACGGCTTTGCAGTCTGGTGCAAAAGTAGAGGGTCAGTACAAACAAGGGAAACCCTCAATGAGATGGATTAATACAGTAGACTCAAACATATCAAAGATCATGGAGATGACATGGGACCAGGCAATGTTTCCTTCTGTTGTACATAAGGTCATCATGAGTAGCAGCCAGTTAGATAGCAACTAACCACAACCTTTCCAGTGCACTCAGGCTTTCCTGCAAATGGCCATCATTCGAGCAGACTGTTAGATAGCGATCCCTTCTCCATGATCCGCACCAAGCCCTACTGTCCCCTGTCACTAGTAGCAAAGGAACTGTGAGATACAATAATATCTATCTAAGTGGGTTAATGCGTCAGACTGCAAAAGCCATTTGAACTGCAAGGTCAGCGGTTCAAGCTCACCAGCTGCTCCTCGGAAACCCTATATAGGGTCACTATGGGTTGGAATCCATTCAACGCCACTTCACCACAACAACAACGTCATTTACATAGTGATTGGTTTCAAAGCACTTTCGCATAATTTTATACACAGTAATTCTCCATTTTGCAGATGAGAAAACAGACGCAGAGATGATATGATTTGCTCAGTGAGATACTGGGTTCAACACTAACCTTCTTCATTACTCAACTCAGTTTAAGAAACATGACAGATATTTATTAAGCTCCATATACTGCAGAGATGGGTAGGCAGTCTCCCATCTGTGCCTATCAATCCATCATTCAATCAACATGTATTGGTGGAAGAGGAAGCATTTACTGTGGCCCTTCTGGAGTTCTGGAGCTCTGGTAGCGTAGTGGTTATGAATCGGGCTGCGAGCCGCAAGGTCAGCAGTTCGAAACTACCAGCGGTTCCACGGGAGAAAGATGAGGTTCGGAAACCTTGTGTAGGGTCGGTATGAGTCGAAACCGATTCCACAGCACATAACAACATATATAGATATAGATATACACACACACACCCAAAACAGCCCTGGTAGCGTAGTGGATTACAGAGCTGGGCTGCTAAACCACGAGGTCAGTAGTTTGAATCTACCAGTTGCTACTAGGGAGGAAGGAGGCTTTCGGAGTGCTCCCATAAAGATTTACAGTCTCAGAAATCCTATACAGGGTCAATGAGTCGGAATTGACTCAATGGGACACAACCACCACCAACAAATCCATATACATAGGTGTGTTCTTTCAAGAAATCTGCAACCCCAAGGAAAATATAAAACTAATAGAAGCAGCAAAACCAACACTAACACATAATGAATAATTAAGTGCTACACTGTGTACTTCTGGCTAAGTGCTGTGGGTGTCGGGTTGTTGTTGTTGTTGTTTCATTCATAACACCCCTCCCTCCCCAGCCAAGTGAAGATGTTGTTGTTAAGTGCATTGAGTTGGTTCCCTGTAGAGAGTTTCTGAGGAGCAGCTGGTGTACTTGAACCGTGGACCTCGTGGTTAGCATACAGCACCACACAGGGTCCCTATGGAGTCTAGAGAAGAGAGGAATCCCTGAGCCAGTGTCCCAGCAGAAAGCTCGATGAAGGGGCCTGAGGTGGCTGCTGATGAATGGATGGGACTGGGGAAGTGAAAGAACACGACTGAAAAGTCACATCATGGGAGAAGGAGGAGCCAAGGAAGTGAGGACTAGAGGGACAGAGCCCTGGTGGAACAAATGGTTAAGTGCTCAGATAGTAGGTTGGCAGTTCGAACCCATCCCATGGTTCCCCAGGAGAAACACCTAGTAACCGGCTCCTGTAATGATTGCTGTTTTAATTGTTGTTGTTATGTGACGTGGAGTCGGTGCCAACTCATAGTGACCCTGTATAGGGTTTCTGAGGCTGTAAATCTTTACAGGAACAGAAAACCTCATCTTTCTCTCACTGGTGG